TTTAGGAACTAGAGGAAGGTTGTATTTCTCATCATTGTTACATCGCACCCTGACTGGCTCATCTCCTCCCCGAGTACAGTCAGTTTTTTATACATCTTTTCCATTTCTTTTTAGAAATATGCAAATATTAAGAGCATGAAAAAGTGTCATTGCCAGTTTTGGAAAAACTACACAAAATTTCCCCACAAACCCCAAAATAACTGTACAACTTTCCCAAAGGACTGAACTTGGGCAGAAGACACATGGAGCAGAGTAAAAGGAAGCAGCATTAGACCTATTAGAGAATGCCAGTACAAAAATATGCTTCCTGGAAATGAGGATTCATTATCAAGTGCAAATCTCGGTCTCTCAAAACCAAGAGCAGGAACAGAATAAGTTCAGAATAAGGCATATAAAGGTGTGAAGCCAGGGGACAGAGCGTTTCCAGGGAGAACAGAGCAGCAAATCTTAGGATCAGGAAAATTATAACTCATCAAGATAAGGTAAGCACTATGAAACATAGAGGCCTCTCTCTTGCTTGCAAAAACTAGAGAGCACAGATCGGCTGGCAGAAGCTAGTTCACTTCAGAGACTCAGAGTAGGTGGGGCCACATATAGAATCATAAGAGAAGCTGCATTCACAGGAAGCAGTCTGGTTTTGACACTGAAGGAAAAGTGAATCTGTAGTCTATTTTTATCTGTGTATTGGGTGTAGGTTTACAGAGCAGATCATCAGTTGTACAACAATCAACAATTATTGTACAACAATTCAACAATCCATAATCTATAGCTTCAGGATATACCACTCCAAAATAATGCCTCGAAAAGCTATCAATTATTTGCCAACAGTTCACTGGGGTGACAAATCGGGATGGGCTCAGCTATACCTTTGGGTCTCTGATATGATGACTTAGATACCCAGAGCCTCTTTTTACATTCTATCTCATCTTCAAGGAGGCTCCCCTATTGAGAATTCATTGCTATTGAGTGAATTCTGACATATAGCATTCTCCTGTAAGCACTGGACTACTAACCTCAAGACTGTCAGTTCAATTCCACCAGCTGCTCGGTGGGCAAAGATAAAGCTGTCTGCTCATGTGAAAATTGCCACAGCCTTGGACATTCTCTGTAGGGTCAGGATGAGTTGGAATCAACTCTCTGGCAATGAGTTGGGTTCTATGACAGAGTGTAACTGGAATCATGGGTTTTCAAGGCTGTAATCTTTACAAGAGCAGACTGTGATCTCGCTCTCACCCAGAGTTGGGGGTGGGTACAAGCCACAGTGTTTTAATCACTGTGTACCCATGCTTCCCTTCCTAAGAGGCTAGCTAAAGCCTTCTCACATGAAGATGGAGAAGGTCCCATAAACAACCAAGAACGCAGGCCTATATGCTCACACATTTTTTAAGCTTCACATTTTTTTTAATGTGTCATGATTGTTGATGTCCTAATGGCTAAAGCAAGTTCAACTGAGTTGAAGGTCAATATGGGAGGAGGCTATGCAAAAATGAAACTACAGAAAAATG